CCCCGGCCCATCGCCGCCATGACGGGGCGGGACCGGCCCCGCCCCCCGCCCCGCCCCCGGCCGGCGCGGAGCGAGGCCGTGCACAGCATACAAAGGTTTAATCAAGTAGAGTATTTACAGTCCTTACAGCATGTACAGTCGATTAACTACAAAGGTAATAACGCGCTTCTCATTTACAATGACGAACTACAGGAAACGACATTCAAGTTCTAGATACAAAGTCTACAGCCTTATTAAATGCGGACGAGGGCTGGTTCTACGTTCTTTACAGTTACACCTTCGGGGGGGCGGTTCACAGGAGAACGCAAGCATTTTACTGCTGGAATGCTTAAAAAACACCAAATACAGAGGGACACGTGGATAAAGGGAAAAAAAAAGTTCAGTATTTCAGACAGAGTAACCTCTCTGCTTGAGGAAACAAGGATTTCTCAGCGATTTCTATCAAAACATGGAAAATCTGGGATCCTAACAGAAAAGTGAGTGGGAATTTTTCCTCCTCTATCATCTCCTTCCATGGGAAGAGAAACAAGAAAATACTGTATGCACGAAGATAAAGCAAGCGTATGAAATGGCATACACCAAAGCGGTACATTCATCCTTTTCCCCAGTATTGCCGTTCTGGAGTTGTCCCTGTTTTACCAATGTGCTTTTGTGCAAGCATGACTGCAAGGCATTTCGGCCATCAGGATGCACAAACAACCGGCATAAACTCTAACTTCGGAAAAAGCGTCCACCTGTGAATGGGCAGAGATGGTCGTTTGCAAAACTGACTCTCAAAATACTTCCAATGTATTAAATAATCAGCTCAGTCCTTTGACAGTGTACAAATATTACGGCCTTAGTACTTACATATTATTTGTAATTCTATCAAATGGTCCTTTTATATTCACTGTGTCATTTGAGATTCTCATGATCAAAACGCAGAGTTAACATCCATACTTTAAAACAGACGGCTGCAGAGAAGCACCGAAGTCCTGGAAACGTCACAGCCAACCCTATGCTTATTCTAGTTCTCACCTTTTTTCTTTAGCGCTACAAAGTTCTAGCTCTATCAAGAAGTTAATTAAATTTGGACAACATGTGTGTACTGATGTCACACTGCAAAACAGGAGAAACCTCCTCTTGTACGGGGATTTGCTGACAGCAGTTGGAAGGTCTGGTTGCATTTTCTAAAACCATTTCAGCTCAGTATATAACCAGGTAAAATGTAAAACCCCTCAGAATGAAAAATGCAGTATTAATACAGGATCCTTTAACGCACTAATGTTAGAAGCCACGAAAGGTACAATCCAAAGCTTCTGAAATCAGTGGAAAGACTGCTACCAATTTCAGTGACTTCTTGGGTCAGGTCCTAACTGGTAAGGAAGCTGAAGTCTACCATGTACTACTGAAGAGCTTAAACATGCGTTCAGACTGCAATATGTGCCGCTTGTGAAAGCAAAGCAAGACTTCCAACATCTGCCACCTTCACCCAAGTTTATGGGAACAAATTCCAGCATGTCTAATATAACTCAGTGGCATGATTCAGTATGATAATTCAGAAAGTTAAGCTTTATGTACGGTACTGACATTAACATAAAATATGAAACCTTATGAACCACCAAAACAATACAGACCACTAAGGAGACACCACAGACCATTTTAATCAACATGCAATGTAAGTCAATTATATGTCTGAAATCAAGATGTATTACAATATATGTTGAGCTCCTCGACATTTGTCTTTCCACGAGACCTTTGGAACACATGATCTAACTCTGGCTAAGAAAAATATTATAAAATCTTTTAGTGGGCCATCTAGTAAATTACTAAAAACCCATGTGAAAGCTGATTTTTAACTGCGTTAGGAATCTACTGCTTTGTACCTCGCCAACTAAGACCTATTATACTTCATACCTATAGAGGAACACAAACTGGAATTGAAGCTTTCCATTATCTGGTGCAGAGTACAAGATGTTAACCCACAATGGAGCCTTACTGTCTATTATTCTAGTTATACTTAGATTCATATTGTAATAAAAATGGAAGTTTCCTTCCTTCCTTACCAAGCAGAAAATTAGCACTTGAGTTAGAACTCGATAGGGAAAGCCAGATCTTCAGAGTACTAGAGATAATCGTACTTAGTATTACTCAGGGTTGAATCCTACGAGTTACAGAGGCCCTGGAGCACCGAGCCTGCCAGTGTTTGGTAGGACTAAGCCCTCAATACATTTCATGCAGCTTAATGGCATATTCATTTTTGCTGATGAGCAACATCCTAACACATGATTGCATCTGACCTGAAAAAAAGCTTTAACTGAATGCAGTTTATACTGGACATCCTCGTGTACCTAAAAGGACTGGGGAAGGAGGCTGCAGGATCAGAAGTGACATACCTACTCCCTGAACCATTAAAACTCCAAAGGTCCTGTCAAGAGTAATACAACCCGTTGATCATGTATGTTATTAGTCCTTTAGCATAAACAGACTGATACTGCTTCCCAGACAGATGAGAGTCGGAAATGCAGGATGCAGATCTGCAGAACTACAGGGAAGAAACTTTTTGTCCATAGGAAGTTGTCCTGCAAAATTTGTCAAGAGAGATTTTTATGGCTAGGAAGGAAAATACCAGTCAAGATTTGAAATAAGTGTCTCGGATATTTTTCCAGCAGCACGGACTGAGATAGCGATTATGCCATTAGACTTCAGGTAGCTTTACATTACAGCCAATCACACTATATACTGCCTGTCATGTAGGCTCCAAAAGACAAATCTTTAGAAAAACTTATGTTTAAAGTGTATACTATACATAGTCATATCTTACATTGTCCCATCTGTACACGGGGAATTTTACTTTCTCTAAGATCTACTAAAACATCCACTTCTGTTAAATACTGCAGATTAGGAAGTATATTATCATTTCATAGACAGCTATTTAAAAAAACAACTTAGTAGAAATTACTGCTTACAGGTGATATTCCTAAGTTTCTTACTATTCAGACTAAATGCACTCTTAAAATGGGCAGAATCTGCTTTTCCTAGCACGATTAGACCACACACGAAGCAAGAACTGTTTTGCAAGGTTCTTCTGCTTGGAAAAAGAATCTATTGGACAATTCTAAAATGCTCTTAACTTTGCAGCAATAATCATCCAGATTTGATGCATTATTATACATTTGATGCAAAATTATAAATATTTGAAATACCCTGTTAAAATTTAATATGCCAGAAAGTTTAATTTTACTATAGTTTACAGAATTTTTTTACCCAATTTTGCTTATCTTAGCCAGCTTGGAGAAAAGCCAATTCATTTCCTAAATACATTTAAACAGCAGGTTAGCATAATGCCATGGCTATTAGGATTGTTAAAAACTCACATTGATATTATGTTACCTAAAAATTCTCCTTAAGTAGTCCATAGGGCAGACAAATAGAGCATAAAGAATTGCATCTGCCGGTTTGGGGCTTCAGGTGATTACTGTCTCGGTATTAAACAACCTGACACATAAGCATGTATCTACAGACACCATTTAGACATGCACATCAGCAGAGTGGAGCTCACTATTGACTAAAGCAAATCATGTTGCTGCCCTCAGAACACAGCTGGAGACTGCTTGCTCGTTACTTTGCAAAAACATGCAGTGAAATTCCTAGGTTTTCTTGCGCCCACCTTAGTTTAGACAACACGTATACGTACGCATCTTTGCAGATTATATAAAGGATACCGCTTCCTGATATAAAGGATTGATTGACCTAAATTCGGGCTGGCTGCATTACACATGAGGTGTTATATATTCAAGCTCAGGGCTAGTAGTGAGAACAGCAGAAAGAGAAAGTAACAAACAGCCATCATACAACTGCGCTACACAAACTCCATTGGCTCAATATTTACTTTCATGTCTTAAATTTCAAACTTTGATGTCCAAATATTGCAAACAAACCCTTCATCATGTCCAGCAGGATCAAGTTTATTTTTCTTGAAAGGTTCCACATGCTCATTTAAAAGTATACTTGCTGTACAGAAAGTTTAATTTAAGAGGGAAAAAAAAAAAAAAAGGAAAATAGATTGCTTTTAGAAGTTTGGTCCTCCAGGATATACACCTATTGTGACTGACCCGCAGTCACTAGCGTAAAGGCCAGCCTGGTGTTAAAGCTTCCACTGAAAAAGAGCTTGCAAAAGAGCAGAAGTTACCATGTCTTGTTATTAACAGCTTACCTCCAACCACAATCAGCACAGAACAAGAGAATCTGTTAAGTCACAGGCCCACAAACAGAAGGACAACTCAGGAAGTCATTACCCGACTTCCCTTCCAAACAGTCCCAGAAAATGCAACCCAGACCTTCTTGTCAGAGGCACATTCTTTATGGCAATAGGGAGACAGATGACAGTAGGGGACAGTAAATAGCAAAGCTGGTCTGATCATCCCCTGGATCATCCTGCCATCCAGAGCCTGCAATGCATACAGCTACACTCTGCTGACTATGTACGAACCACTGACAAACTTTGTTTTTCTAACAGGTACTATTTTTTATACTGCGCTAGCAGGTATTCTTTTTTTTAAACATTTTCTTCAGCTGCTGAGGTATACATACTGTAGAACATACACAACTCATACATTTCCCCAGCTACCACGATCTAAAGCTATATTAGAGTGGTCATTTTATCCAAACTATCTAATGAAATGCATACAATTCATTCTGTTAAAGTAAAAAAAGACTTGCACTATAAGGATCAGGTTCTTTTTCTTCTTGACACTTAAGACTTCTGGGAATCTGACTGCTGGAAACGGTTTAGCTTCTCTGGATTATTTGATGCCATTTGAGAAAAGTCACGAAAAATGTCCTGATAAATTTCATCTCCTAGGTAGAAAAGAAAAAAGGGAAACAGTTTTAAACATTCATGACAGTTAACATCACCCACCATTGCACAAATGCCTTACTGTGCCACCAATTACTGTATAACACTTATTCATGTATAAAGATTGCTTATAGATGGAATGATGCTGATGTGAACTTTTTGGGACTGTTTACTTGCATGCACATTCTGCAGAAGCAAATTAAGCAAAGCCAAACTATACCTGAAATAGTACCTCACAGGCAGCCACACAGAGGAAAGTTCAGAGTTAGAAAGGAAAAATGAAAGCATTTTAAAGCAATGGAAAAAGTAAAATGTTTATTAGCTATTAAAGAATAAAATCCTTGTTTTTGCAAGAAAGTGCTAACCAAGATTCTCTTCAAAAAAGTCGAATCATGGCATAAATAAGGGTTTACTTGGAAACAGAGGTCAGAAGTCTTACAGCCAGACACAACTGTCCATGAAGGAAACAATCAGCAAGCAATAGTATAAAAAAAAGCAATCCTAAGTAGAGAAATTATTGTTCATAAATCCTTTTGGTCTATTACTTCAGCAAATATAAATTTTTACATGCATCACTAAATATTCATTACATCTTTTAGTTTTATCTGTAAGAGTGATACTTTCCTTATACATCTTTCATCTGGGTTGTTTGGGTTTTTTTTTTTTTTTTTTTTTATCATCTTCGCTCTTTGTGCTTAAACACAACCCGACTACTAGTACATATTCCAAAACGAGGAATGGCAGCAATTTCCACCAGGACTGTCTCCCTCCCCCTCCCCGTCTACACAGGAAAACACATTCAGGAATGATTACTTTTTGAGTCCTTGCCAAGTCATTCTTCTGCCATTTTAAAACGGACATTTTCACATTCTTTCATCTGCTGCAGCATTTCGGGCCTTGAGTTCAGGTTTCATTTTAAAACATCAACCATACCCTATTGCCTTCAAAGGGAATTAAATGCTTAAAACATTTGGTCCGGTCAGGAACTATGCAGCCATCCAAATTTTACCATCTTCCCAACACAGACGACCACACAGGACACAAGATTCCAGCACTACTGGTCCTTGCTGACAGCTTGATTAACAGCATGACAAAGAAATCAATCCAAGATCTGTCTCATCGTGTATGTTGAACATTAAGATTTTTTTTTTTTCCAATATGATTGTGGAAGAAAAGTGTTATTCTACCACTTTTTTTTTTTCAAAGGGTGGTTTTTAAAAGGATTTTTTTGTTTAAAAGTTTGCACTAGAGTGAAAAGTTACACTGTTTTGTTTTTCCATCTTTTAATGTACATTTCCAATATTAGAACTATTACTCTTTTGGAGATGAGACTCCATTCATTTGAAAACACTTTCAGAAATGATAACCGACCTTCCAGAAATATTTAACGTGCATGGCATGTGGGTTTATATAAAAGTGTAATGACACAATTCTTCCCAGACTTTAAAAGATAAATACATTCAATACTGCTCTACTAGGAAAAGTTAGTTCTAGTGAAATTCCCTTTCGGTTTCTGGATTTAGTTTCAAGTATATCCTAGAGATGAAGCAGGCACCGGACACATTTTATTTTAACAGTTTCTGGTAACTGCTTGCACTGGGAGACAAGCACAGCACGAAGGGAGCTGTAACATTCACCAACAGAACAGCTATGAAGAGCACAAATCGGAATCAAGCTTGTGTGATAAAAGCAATTATGCTTTTAATACAGAAGTGGGTTCCACTGGTGAACTAGTACTGTGGTTCAAGTTGCCATATTTGGTTCTTTCATATTAACTTGAAAGAAAACACAAAAGCTATTTTTGCAAGATACATTGTGGCTCTGGTTTTGGCTCTATTACATAACAAAAATATTACATACAAAAATAGACTAAAATAAAGTGCCCCTTTAGTTTGTATGCTGCATTAAAATATTTAATACTGTAAACCTTATAATTATTTTAAAATCCTATTTTAAAACTGAACTCTGGAAATTCCCTTTCTAAGCAATGTTTTCCCTAAAGTGCAGATTTTATGTACAAAAATACTATAAGACTGCTTTACTGTTTAACACCAGAGTAACTCAAAAGGCACACATCATACATTCAAGAAAAGATAGGAAGAAAAAGTAGCAATACTAATATCAAATAGTTAGCAGACAGACTGTAGCACCAGAAGATGAGCACTCCAGTATTATACAAGAAACAGTACAATGGTGCATATGGCTTCTACCACCAGCAATGAACTTTTTGTGGAACAAGCTAGTTTCAGCTAGTTCCCATTCTAGGAGTATTTTGGAAGACCAACTGTACCTTGCAAAGCAATATATACATTCTCTCAGGAGCTCAAACCAGCTGGGTATATTTAAATTAGAAATGTTGATGCCATTAGCTGCATTAGTAATTGCTTATCAACTGCATTACTAAAGGGGAGAAATAGGCAGTTGGCTTCACTCTGAAGACAGCAAACTCATACATCAATATGTACCCTCACATAGCTCCCAGCAAACATACAATTGTCTTGAAAACCCTTATTTTCTTCTAGAATCATAATTTTGGAAAAAAGGAGTTCTAAAATAAGGGCAGTGCAGGTAATTTAACTTGTATATGCAGTGAAACAGACCTGCCTCCTCTACGACCACATAACAGTATTGTACCTTGCAACAGCAGAGGCAGGGCTCACACTTAGACATTTACACAACCCTTCCAGCAGGCTAGCAGACATTAACATTAAAACAAATATTTACTCCGACTTTTAAAAGAGACTTCAGCAAGTCGAGAATTGAGAGAGCAGAGCTATGCTATCCAAAGATACAGCAAGATCTCCTGGCTGGGACACGGTGCTAGACCTTGTGGCCTGAATTTCAAGAATTACTCTAATGATGCCCTCCCCCTGGTTTTGGGCAAGCTCCATCCCCTGTGGCAGCTCTACTCTCCATTGTCAACCTCGCCTGTTTACAAGGATCACATACTATCTGTAAAACATCTGGATCAGATTGTATCAACTGCAGTCTCTAGATTCTACTGTCATACAAACTGATAAAAAGGTCATGATATTTTTGAAAAGCTGGCTAAGTCTTTCATTATTTCATCTACCTAATTGAAGAATCTGCCTAAAAAAATATTTTAAACAAGATGTCAGGGAAAATAGTCTCCCTCATCTCCAGTTTAAACACATTCACATTTTCATGTCAGTAGTGTCTGTATTTGTTATGAATGAAACATTTTACTAAACACTTGTAACGTTTAGTAACCAACTGAGGCTTTTTGTACAAACTATAGAAACATTTTCTGGTTTAACAATAATTTTGGATTTGTGACAGATCAATTAAATGATTTAATACATTCATTTATGATTTAGCACAGAGCTTTTGAATCAAAATACCTACCTCCCTTAAAACAAAGACATTTTACTATTTGAAACTGATAGTTATTCTTTTTACTTCTTAAAATAAAAATGAGGAGACTCAAAAATACTTCAGTATTTGTTACCTTCAGTCTGTCAGTGAAGTAGTATGCATTGTATCAGAAAACAGCTTTACATTCAAAATGGCCAAACTGGCAATAGACTTTTTGCATATACATAGCCTGCTGCGTTTTCCGAGTGGGGAATTCTTCCTCATTTAAGCTCATAATCAAGCATATACTTTTAAATTATCTGTTGCTCTGCCAAAGAAAGCTTTTGAATGTCTGAGTGTCCGTAGTACTTTTATTGTTTGAACTGGAATTTCCTAGAAAATTTGTTTAAAAATAAATTTGAAAAACATCTGTTTTTAAGGAGAAACTAAATAAATTGGGCTTATTTAACAGAGTTCATCTGGGATATTGACATGAGACTCAGTGTTGCCCCTTGAGTATATTCCAGCCCCAATCTGGTAAAAGACATAAGCACACATAATCCTTATGAGTCAGTGGGAAATACATAAGGGCGTTACAGGAGTGAGCCAAGACTACTCAGCACTCGACCTTAAAAATAAGGTTTGCCTTTCACTACTGCCAGGCATAGTGGTGTGTTTTTAGCTGTCTAACTTGACAAGTCAAGTGTGCCTTCATTATCGATATTTGCAGGAGATTAAATTAGGTTCCTATGGAAGCATACCATAATAGAAGAAATGGCTTGCATAAACATCACATCAGAACATAGTGTAAATTGGGACTGAGTGCCTGAAAATAAAAGTTGCACATATTCATTAAATATAATTTGTTACTTTTTTGTACCAGTTGGCTCAAATGTCTGCCAATTCTTTTTTTTTAATCAAATGGTAAGATACTATGCATACAAAAATACATACTTAAGAATGATTGTTTTGTTTCTTATTTGTATCTTAACAAATAAAATTATTTAAAAATAAAATTTGAGGAAATAATACTTTCCTATTTCTGTCTGGAGTTATTTTGAAATATTTGATGTACATTTTTACATTGGTGTGCAAGCTTTTTTTTTTTTTAAAAAAAAGAAAAAAGACGACCATTCCACAGGAAGGAGAATGGTATCCCGTAATAAGATGAACTCCTCAACTGTCTCTGAGCAACCCGGGTCAGAAGGCTGCTATTAAATAACGTCAGGTAAATCCTAACATGATGTGAATTTCAATGGAACATCAATAGGAGAAAACTGTGGATAGCTCTGTGGACAACTACCAGCAAAACACATTGCTAATGGCTGTAGTAACATACACTACTATAATAATGTACTTTAAACACTCTCCTTTTAGGTTCCCTAAATAATCTGACAAAGTCACACCAGTGAATCTCAATGAAGCTTTAACATGTGAGTTGTTTATAAAAAACCTTATTGTATGAAGCTATCTTAAATTTCCCTCGGATCCTAAGAATCTAATTGTAAACTGATAAATTCCTGAATACACTTCTTATACTGCATTTCAGTATGGTTATTAGTAGAGTATTGACCTGGCTGTCCATAGAGTCCTTCCGATTCACGCATTTCTTCATTCATCCTTGCTAAACGCAACCTATGATTTAGGAAACAAAAAGAAGAATGTAATCTTTAAAGCACTAAAAAAGACTGCAATTCAAGACCTACAATGCACTCCTGAACCTCACACCAGTGAGGTCATCTATGGATAGCGCACTCTTTTTCTTTTGCTCTCCCTGTTTTTATGTAAAGGAATTTTGACATTTCTTATATTTTTAACTTGAAACAGAGTAGGAAAACCTAGTTACCTAGTCAAAAACAGAACGTACAACTTACAATGTTACAATATCTGCATTTGCAGCTTCTACTGCTATACTCAATGGATCTTTCCCATCTTCATCAGTGGCATGCTGGTTTGCTCCTCGTTTTAGGAATAAACACACTTGTCTGTGTAGAAAAAGCACATAAGAATAATTTTCACAACAATAAAGGAAAAAAGCAAATAAATTCAAGCTGGTTGCAACGTATTTGGCTTAAATTGCCAAAAGTCTCTTGAACATATCAAAACAGTGCTGTTCATCTAGAACAACTAAGACATTAACACAGTAGGAAGCAAAACCTTTAATTATTTAATCCGCGTTAGAAAGATAGCCTAACTCAAATCATGCTAGTACAGCAAGGAGTTGAACCCTTTAGAAGCGAGACTCTCCTGTATCATCTTAGGTTGCAGAACCAAAAAACCTCATCCCTTTTACCATGACAGAAAAGAACCACTGAGCAGGATAAATCAATACAGGAAAAACACAGTTCACAGGTGTCTGATTTACGCAATAGAAACTGATCTCGTTTTTCTCTGCTATTATAATTCTTCATCTTTATAAACAGGGCATACTGACTAAGCTTACATCTTAAACCCTCCCAAGTTGTTGCACTCTATTTAGAATTCATGCATGCAAAGAGATTGGGCACTGCCAACCAGATTATGTTGTCCTCATTTGAACTGAGCTGGTACAGGGTTTCAGGTAAAAGCCGTGATTCCAAAACTCAAGATGTAATGCCGTACGTTTTGAAATGAGACACACTCAGTGCAACACACAGGTGAGATGAAACAGAAAAAGCCTTGGCCCTCACATACCACTGTTTCTCCTATTTGTATCATATTTTAAGAAAACAAGAAAAACCTCATGAGTCTCCTCCAAAAGTTCATGCTATTTCAAAGCATTACTAAATACATGTTTTTACAAAATGGACCAAAGTGTGTTTATAGATGTGTGTTTAGCTAGCAGATGAGACTGATAATTCAAAATGCTATTTCCTCTCTCACCACAAAAGTTTCAGAAAAAACTAGATCACCTGAAATACATTAAAGTGCCAGAATATATGGGGAAACGAAGAAGCTTCACATTAACAACTACAGTAAAAGATGGCCATTTACAAATTCTGGAGCAGTGAGTTACCCAGTATGTCCTAGAACTGTAGCATGGTGCAGGGGTCCTCTTCCTTTCATGTCCCTGATGTTCACATTGGCCCCATTCTGCAGCAAGAATTCACAAGTAACCAATGAACCCTACGGAATAAAAGCAAAGAAACAATTCAGCACCAGATCTCTAGAACAAGAGCCAAACCTGTTCTGCCTTCTCCCCACTGAGTCATGTGGCAAAGGAAACAAAAGGAGATTTGCTTCCATATCAAATTTAAACACTACTACATTATATAATTCTAAACAAAGCATTAACAGGAAAAAAATAGTTCAGAAACAATGTTGAGAGAACATTGTAAAGACAGCTTCAGCACCACATTATCATTCATTAGGGAAGCAAGCAGTTCAAAAGGAACAGTGACACAGAAATATCCCTATTATTCCCCTTCCCCTCCTCCCGCAGCAGTCGGTGCTGTATATCACATACCCCTCGCACTGCCTGAATGAGTGGTGTTGCTTTGTTTTCTTCTACGTTGACCCAGTTTACTTCCGCTCCATGGGCCAATGCTTCTGCCATATCAGGAAGATTCTTCTCAAAGGCAGCTCGATACAGCTGCAATCCTGGACTAGGCTGTTTGGAGTCACAGAACACAGAAGACTCTTGCTTGTCAACTTCTGAAAAGAAAAAAAAATTGCTTATCTGTAATCTCTGTTTTTATAAGGTAGCTCCTGGAATTCTGACCAAAAGTGTAATTTCTCTGGCATAAGGTAGCTCAGGTTTTGCAGAATGCTGTGCATTGTTGCCCCATTCTGCCAGGAGAAGTCACAGATGCCTTTAGCTTGTTCCAGCATTCAGGCATGGCCACTTCACAGAATTATTACTGCCCAGAAAACATTCTCTCCACATTACTGGCATGTGTGAATATCCTTCAATCTACCTACTCCGTGTCATTTCTAAGAAATTATTTTAGATTAGAAGTGTGTTTTATCCTATACTATATGAATAAAACTAATTTCCTGCAGATACATAGTCATACAAATATATCTTTATCTGCAACAGCTTGATACACCTGAATATGAGGCTAAGGCTGTTCTGACCTAATTTTCGTTAAAAGATACCATTGTCATTTACCAAATACTTGCTGTGGCTATAATCTTTTGGACTAAAGCATAATCTTTCTTTTCATCTCAATAAGAGTTATAACAGAGTGAAGTCTGGGAGACAGACATTTTGTATATAAGCTTTCATGAGTTACAGCATCATGTTTCTACAATGTAGTCAAAGAAAGGATCCAAGCCACATGCTGCTTGCCTACAAACCACAGCTGTGAACTACTGGGTTTAAAACATACCTCAGAAGAGTGCTTTGATGTAGAAGAATAAGTTTGCTTTACAAATAAATGTTTTGGATATTCTGACACATCATACTCAATACATCTGTCAGCCCAGGATGCCAATATTAGATAGCAAATAATTTCATCAATCAATTTATAAAACTTTGATTAAAGAGGGGGTAATGTTTAAACGCGTGGTCAATTCCACATAAGTGGAAAACAGAAAAATTAAGCAAGAATACTCAAATAACACATAAAAGCCTATTATGTGTGACTTAACAGGAATTCCGCCTCCAAGGATTTAACTATTTATAAAAGGATTATGCATTTCTGTGGAGACTTGTCTGTCTGAGATATTTTGATGTGGCATTGCTCTCTCTGCTAAAAAACAAAGTTCTGGCTCAGTATCATCTGACTGGAAAAAAACATAATTGTCTGAACTCATTTAGAAGGATTCAATGTCATTCTTGCTACCAAGCCTGGAGGAGAGAAAGGTCATTCAAGCAATTATTACCCTTGTTAAAGATATTTCAGCCCACCAGGATAGAAGAGACATGAATTGTATCACCAAGTACTAATCTCTTTGATAAGAGCATGCTACCAAGAAGAAGTGATTAGATTTTCATCTTAAAGTGCAAAGCCTAACACACCTGGTTCGTACAAACTGTTAGCCGATATAGTAGAGGCAAGGTGTTCTCTGCTGTCATCAGCACTCTGCTGGATCCCACTGTCACTGCTTTGCACTGTTTTGGGAAGAAACTGCAATTACTATGCAGACCGTAAGTTACCTACTCTCCACAGATACCATGATAATAAAGCAAGCTCTTATACTTGTTCCTGAATACGTTTTTTTTAATGACTAGTAATTATTCAATATTCTTAACATATCCATAGAAAAAAATATGAAGTCACATAACATTTATAATAATAATAAATGTCAAAGATTATTAGAAAGGCAAAGATCAGGATAAGTAAAAAAGCTTAAATTATTTCATGAAAACACTAAGCAATGCAGTAGCCTGGAGACAATGGATTAAAGGCAGGGAGATGGCCACAACATGTAATGGATCACTAGTGCAAATACTGTACACGCCATAGCTGTAGTACTTACTACTACGTAGTTTTGAAGAGGTATCAAAGTAGGAGAAGAGTGAATCTAGTTCATCAGGACAGAACAGAGACTCCCGCCTCGCCTCGTCGCTACTTACAGCAACCGCTGGGACATGCAAGTTAGCAAAGCACAAAGCAGGCAGTAAGGAAGGGATAGGGCAGGAAAGAACGTTATTGGAAAAATTAAGAAGGATGAAAATACGGAGGAAAGAAGGTGGTTAATATGTTTCTGAATGATAAGCATCCCCACTCCAAATTCTTCCCCACATAAAAATGCACATTTCTGAACAAGTCTTTTCTCCCCTATACTTCTGAACTAGGCTATGACCCATTAAAAGACAGATTCATTAAAAGAGATTCTGATTTCTCTGCATGAGGCAGGAAATCAATTAATACAAAAATATGTTACTTTAAAAAGAACACGTGTAATATAGCTAAGGAGAGAAGTGTGTAAATACCTTTTTGGGATGCCGCACCTTGTTCCCCTGCCAAAAGGGATTTTTCAGGGCCACTGTGCCTTTTCTCTTCCTGACTTTGAGGCAAAACTTTTGTTCCAGATTCAAGCAGAGATACTGATGCAGGCTGCTTCTCTACAAACTTTCTTTCCACATATTTTGCTCTGATGTATGCCTCCTTCTCCTGCCTGTCATATACAAAATCCCCGGAGTTAGTAAGCTAGTATTTTAATATTTTCATGTATTAAAAGAACATCCATTTCATACTAAAGCCATAACAAAAACTGTAGTTTGGCACTGCACATAAGACATGCTTATGACACTTTCAGAAAGATCAAGAGCACGCTGTCTAACTCTTTCTGGATTCTCGATTAAATTTTGCTTAAGGCTCAAAAGAAAGTAATTTTGTTAAGTTCATATGTGTATATTTCTTTCAGGTAGAGACTTTAGAAAGTGGTATGTGGAAGAAATAAGCATTAGCTACTGTATGTTACTTAGAATAGACTATTTCAGGTGGAAGGGACAACAATCATCTAGTCCAACTACCACTTCTTGTATTAATCCTTTATACATGTTTTACATTATTAATAACCAATTAATATAGCATATATTTAGTTTATTAGGTAAATATAAATCGCAACACTTGTTAAAGGAACATCAAGATTGCACAAGAGACCCATAACAATAAGTCATCTCAAGTAGGCACAGCCACCAGCTCCATAATGCATACTGAAATATTTTTTCCTGTAACCTGAGGTTATCATCTTAAGACACACAGACCAGTTGTGACAAACTGATTAAAGGGGCTATAAACGTGTTACTATTGAAACTGCTGAAAAGCAGTTACCACTAGAAGGAATACCTCACCAATCTCCTACATTATTTATATTATCATCATCATCTCCAAATTGCCAATGCTTTATAAAATGCTGTTTTCTATACCATAAAACTGCCTGACAGCAAGCAGCACAGAACTGGAAAGCTGGTAAAAAAAATAGTTTTAAAAGACATCTTATACAGCAGAACAAAACATTAGAAAACTACCTTCAAATGCAAATTAGCATCAGAGAAATGGAAGACAGCAGTACAATCGTTAGAAGGTTAGTGTAAAGCAGAAGAGCTCATGCACCACGTAGGCAGAAAGAAAAGAGCATTCTGGGGACCAGGGCACAAAAGTCAAACTCAAGAACAAAGTCACTGTAAACAAAAGGCACAGCCACAAGCTCCTTCCAGGAGCACTCACAACCCAAGTACAGCTGGCTGAGATGGTACAAAGTAGACAGGAAACAAAATCAACATGCCCGCGTTGATGAGACAGAGCAAGATGCTATAGAGTTGTCATCAAAAGGAAGGAGTGCGATCAGAAAAAGAACAAGCGAACAGGAGCAGCCGAAAGGGACCAACAGAAGGAATACCCAAGAGAGAGAGATAGAAAAGGAGTAGAGCAAAACATACTGGTGATAAGGGGAAACGAAGAGTAAATCAAAGGAGTGTTACACAGGTAAGTGGCAGCATCTTTTAAAGCTGGAGGCTGAAGGAAGCAACAAGAAAAGGAAGTAAGAGGCACTGCTAGTAAATTGCTACCTTTGGCTTCCAGGTTGTGGCTTCTTTACTCCCACTTTTTCCAGCTTTGCTTCATATATTCTATTTATAACATCATTTCCCAATTCACACATAAGCTGTGAAGCAAAATAAATAAATTTAAATACAGTTGCAAAAGGCTATATCTACCTATTTAGTTGTTTTTAACCTCACTCAGCCTGTTTTTACAACTTAGTATTTTCACTGGTAAAAGTACACTTACAGAAATCAGCATGGTTTATAGCATGGTAATGAAACAATCAGTGAAAAGAGAGACCAAATTCTGAGTAAGATAGCAAAAAATATAGTCACTTTTTTAAAGTGCCATTCCCTTCTGAAAAAGGACGGCAAAAATGACCATCAGTCATTCAAGAACCATTTTTGTGCAATCAGATTGACACCTGCAGGCCTCAATCATTAACAAAGGTACTCTTTCTACCAGCTTTGCCGGTAGCTATTCTTATCCCATCGGCAAGAGACAATTCAATCAATTCTATTCCATCTTGTCCAACAGACATTTTTGCTAAACCGTAATCTGTTATGTCTATAGAAGAAGATCAAAGACAAAAATCAGCCTGCAGATACTACTTTAAGGAGAATTTGGTCCATAAAGTCCAACTTATTGATGGCAACGAACAGACTTACTGCTTCTAATATCAGGTAGAATAGTCAGCTCTGGCATTTCCAGGAAAAGGGGTGTAGTTTTGGGGTTTTTTTGTTTGTTTGTTTCCTCAGCATGAACACATTGATATTAAAATTATTTAAGGTCAAACCACAACAGAAACACCCCTACTCACATTGTCTTTTGATTGTTCAGAATAGAGAAGCAATACCTAAGTACCAGAACATCACAACTAGAGAAAAACACTTTGCATCAGTTATTCAGTTGCACACATGCATCCATGTGTGAGTTCCTGTTTCAGTATTTCAACATCACATGATTTTCATAACCACGTTTCAAGCTAGAATTTTGGCACACAAACAGCACACGAGCAGTTGCATGAATGTTCTCCTATAAGCCAGTAGGAGTATGAAATCAAGATCTCACTGTAAGAGGTGGCATCTGAATTTTCAAGTACAATCATGCTTTAGGCTGATGTAGGACTTCCAAAATTTTTCAGCCCACTATATTATTGGTCTGTAAACAGATTTCCATTTTTATACGTTGAAAGTATCAGATGAAACTTACCACTCCAAGTGCATTTGCGAACCCAAAAGTGTCACAAGTTGTTCTGGCTCGCAAGTTTGTAACAAGAATGACTATCTAACAATCTAAGTACCAAGTAGAAACTTGTTTCAAAAATACTATCATACCTTTAGAAGTTCAGGTTCCCATGAATCCAGCGTTAAAGATCTTACTTTTGAAAAGTGGACTCCCAAGCTCCTAAACAGCATGAAAAAAAAAATATTAACCTGTAACTGCATGCTGTGTCTTATCTCAGACAGTTTTACAATTTATGCAAATAAAGCAGTTACCTTAATTCTGTTTACAAACAGGGGAACAGGGGTCTCTAACCTTTCTCCAATATACATTTGAAAAGGCAAACACCACCCTTCCTAATTAAGACAATGCACAAATCAAATATAGTTCTGAAGAGTTCCCCAACCTGTGTATCCCAGAGCACTCAATGCACAGCGTGATTCCTAGGTTGATACTGGCCCAGCGAGGATCTGCCAAACCACAGTCACAGCAGGCAGCATTACCAGGAATACACTGAACTCGCTGTAGAGCACTTTCTCCCTTTAACAACTTCTCTTTTGTCTCACTGCCAGATTCGAGGCTTCCAGTAGAAGGGGATGATTTCTTTTCCTGTTTCTAAAAAAAGGAAAGAAACAAACAAAAAGGAGACACACTAAAATAAAGAAATAAAAGTCCTAGTGCACTGTCAGTATCTGTAGAATCCTAGAAAAGTAACTTCTACATTTAAGGTCAAGGAAAGCCATAGAACTGAAAAAATGTTTAGCTTTTTAGAAGAAATATAGAACTGAATATAGGAGTACCCAATAATCCTATGAATTTTAATCATACTACAGAAGAATCTCATCAAAACATATAGGCCAAAGTAACATTAGTCAGATAGAGTGAAAGATAGATTAGATATCAATCATAGCCTTCAAAATTTCATTGTATTTCTACCAGAAGACAAACAATGGATTCTTTTTTTCCTCCCCTCGCATAAAAAGAGGTTTCCTCTATTTTAAATTTTCAGGATCTAAAGGGGATGTTAAACTCACCTCGGATTCATCCCCTTTTTCTCTATATGCTGTAGCAATACTAGTCTGAACAGCCTTAATCCATGCCTGTCGCAGCTTTTCCGAGTCAGCCTGAAGCATGCAGCTCCTGTGACAAATACACATGTACTCAGATTCAGAGAGGCTGACCAACTAACGTCAAACAACACTCTTTGTCGAGTTTCTTGCTATCACCACAAGTATATTCTTTAGTAGGCATCATCTACTAAACCCATTTATTTTGAGATAACAAAGCAGCTGACCCTTTATGAATTGCAAACTCCTTGTTTCAAAAACTATTTGGCAGTAATGCTAGAACATATGTATATGACTCTTCAAATAACCCAGAGAATGGCTTAACTTCCTATTCCCTTTTTTTCATATTCCAAATTTTTCATTTTTATATCCTCACATGCAATTTACCTCCATGACTAATTACACAAGATACAGGTATCAGTCCTTGAACACACAGTTCATTCATTGAGATCAAGAGGAAATTATTTTAAAGGTCTCTGACAAAGAACAAACCACTTTTCACACCAACAGTCAAAGGAAACAGGTCATGAAGTGTAAATCTGTTCCAACACTTATGGGCTGAAGAAGTATAGGCAAGCAGGAGCAAAATGCACGTTAAAGTGAACCACAACTGAGGATGCAAACATTAGGACAGCAATCTATTAAGAAGAGAAACGTAAGTAGGAGCGGGGACTGTAGATAACATCCAATCCTAAAGGATTGGATATAAGGTTGACCTTATATAAAAAAATCTAAATATGGTCACATCTCAAAATCATTAATGAGAAATCCATGTCCTGTGCCCTGGCTGCGGCAGGACTGCCATACTTCTTCAAAGATAACCAATACACTGCACTGCCAGGGCTGAAAAATATTTTTATTTGGTAGTTTCATTTAGTGCATTCTGAAACGTAAATTAACACTACTGAGATGACAACCTATTAATATTTTTCTCTCTCATTACACCAACCAGAAATTTGGAGAAACTGAGATCTATTTTCTACACTACTAAGCAGCTTAATAGTATCAGCTACTACTAAGCCCCAACAGCTCCACAACCACAAGCCACATATGCATAAAGCACAGGAACACATGTTTATTTTAATGACAAAAGTAAACTAAATTCTAGGAACACTTCTCACAGCATCACTTACTCCATGCCAAAATTTCAGAAAACAGAACTGTTCAGATACTTTTCCTGTTTTGATCTATCCCAAGAGAAATGTTAATCTTGCATTTCAAGACAACTGAATGTAACGATTTTTTTTAAAATAAACATGCTCCATCACTTCTCCTTACTTTGTTGGAGAAACCACCTCAAAACAGAAACGTCTTTCTATGTCCTCACAGTGTTTAACCGTGCAAAGCCGCAAGTCTTCAACAACTACTGTGGGATTATCCTGAGAGACAAAAGTTAACAAAACAAGTCACACAGAGGAAAGATAAAGTTGCTAATAATCCCAAATTATTTATCATTTTTGCTTGTTTACCCAAATTTTTCCTCCAGAAATAAAATTTTAAATAGGTGGAATCAGAGATACTTAGCAGGAAATATTTAGATAAATTATATTGTTTTGTTCTATTTTATGAAAATTTAATACAAACTTTGGAGAATTCCTTTTTACCTACAATCCAATCTACTAAATAATCGACACCTTAAATTTAAACAACAGTATTGAAAGGAGTTCAAAGATATTTTCTAAGAGACACAATTAGCTCACAAAAAAAATCAGAAAGATTACACCTAAACCAGCAGTATTATAAGTGCCAAGTACCAAAACCAGAAGCTGGATGCAGTGGTTTTGAAAATTTGATTCATTTCATCAGAATTCCATTCTAAGCTAATAGCATTTTAAAGGTGCATTTTTAAAAAACAAAAATGTAATTGGAATTCACAAACACAAAATGCCCAACTCAGATGTGCTCACACAAACTCAACAGTTTCTTTCCTTTCCAACCACAAAAATGAAGAGCCTTGATTTGATAGCATCAGATAACAAGGAATAGCCTCTGAACCTGGCCTGTTAACACTGAAAGGAAATGAACTGTCATTAAGCTCTACCCTCTTTTTTTTTTTTCTCCCTTCTCCATACAGTTCTCCAGTTTTTTCCAACATGAAGAACGGTGTCAGCTATGTGGTGCAAAAGCAGATTCTAGAGCAGCAAACAAAGCAGCACGGACCCCAATGTTGATTGAAAAGGCTGGCTTCCACAGCTTGGGGCAGAGGTGCATTTGCTGCTGTAATATACAACAACTGTACTTTCCCACCAGCAAAAAGACAGATATTGACTAAAAAAAAATGCTGAACCACTTTACATTTTCAGTATTAAATACATATACATAGCATCCCTGACTGTTTCATAACAAATGCTTTCATGCCTTTTTCTTCCCGTCTCTCCCCAACTGCTAAATTGGGTATGTGAACTCAGTAATTAACTGGAGAGAGCAGGTCCTGAAAGAGTTCAACACAACTGCTCAAAGAACAGCATGGAGTATTTCTCTGCCACCAAGCGTGTACAAGCCTCTTAGGACCAACAACTTTTAAGGCTCTTCATAAACCTTCTCTGCAACAAGGTACAAACCCCACAGCAAGTAAAGTACGTGCTTGCAAATCCCTGCGCAGGCATCTCAAAATCTCTAAGTGTAGCGATTAGTCTCATTTTACCAAGGGAGAATCTAATTTAGAAAATGCAGTAGGTTGTTCAAGACCACACAGGATGCGAATGTCAGCACTATTTCTCCTTCCCCTGATCAATCAGGAAAACCATCACCCACACCCCAAACTATCCCAAGCCAGTTTTTAATACCTACCTTAAATTTCTTCTGGTACACGAGTTGGTTATTTTGTATTGAGAACCAGCGCCTATTCAAATAAAGAGACATCCAGAGAATACATAACTGATTTTACAGTGCTTATTTGACCGAAATGTGCTAACATACAGTCTACAGAGAGACTGCATAAAAGAATTCACAGAAGTAATGCCGCAGTCAGCTTTGGCAAGTATTTCGTGAGAATAATGAAAAAAGGGAAAGCAGAGACAAAACAGAAAAGAAAGCAAGGTTCAAATAATTTGAGTCCTAAACAAACACATTCATGTTATGACAACATTAGTTAGGCTATCACACAAAACATTTTCATTTCAAAGAACATTTACTTCTGTATTTTAGCAGCAAGCTACAATTTTAAGTAATTGTTTGATAACACAAATTCAGTCAGTTTGAATAACAAAAATACTTAAGCTATGTGAACTACCCCGTCCTGGAATATTTTTGAAAGTAGAGCTAAGAAATAACTTACTAAGGCACTAAAAATACTACAGTGTTGCTGTCCCATGTAGGTTTAATGTCTCTCTATATTTGGCATTTCTTAAAATTTTAGATGCTGAAATAAAAAGATTTCATACAAAACCAAGGAAAACCTTTTAAGTAGGATCCTAACTCAAGCCTCAGCTTTATAGGAAAATATCAAATAAAAGATTTAATGACAGCATCCTGTAAAATCCAAAAGATAATGTGATGCTTAAAAACGCCTCTGAACTGTATCCTTCCTTGTCAAACTCGCTGTTCAGATAGGATACAATTCATAGAGAATGGAAAGATCGTTCGTATTTTGCAAAAAATTACGAGCACCTCAGATCTCTAACAACTGTGTTTTATTAGACCACTGAATATTAAAAAAACAGAAAATATAACCATTCCTTTCTAGCTCTTCTGGGGATGCACAAAATAAAAGTTACCCAATCATCACTGGTTTTGAACTGACAAAAATGAAGGGAATATGAAAAAAGAATGCAGTCCTGCAGTGAAATTTATGCTTTTTTGTTTTATTCGTGCTTATAATGTGAACCTGTGTTTATCATAGCATAATTCCTCAATTATCTCAAATACCCCACTTATAGCACACATCACTACTTTCTGCACTGCCAACTAGTTTGAATAGTAACAGTATACAAAATATTGTATTGCAGCCTATCTTGTTATTCTCCACAGGCTGTTGAACTTCAAGCTACAGTTTACTACAATTAGTAACAAGAGGGCTCCGTGTATTTATTCAACCACTACAAGCCATTCATGAAAAAAAGCACACAAAGATTGTTAAGAAAAATTAAGATACACAAAAAGTTAGATTAAAATCAGGAAATCTAGTATTTGTTAGAAAAGTTAGTACTTAGTAGACAGATGAGATTCTACCTTTTAACAATTAATCTTTTCAAATGTTGTGCAGATATATTTAATTTAAAAAGCAACAAACAGGATCTTCTTTTAATACTGGATTTACAACATAATAGTCATCTTTTTGGGTTAAGATAATTGAACAAAATAATGCAAAAAGTGAACTACTTTTTCAATTTGTTACAGCAGTAGTTTTGTCACTGCTATTTAAAAGGTATCACCTTTACCATCTATTTAAAAAAAAAAACCATCACAGATGCAGTAACTAAGCCTCAAGTATGAGCATAAGGCATATATTGCTAATATTTAAATAGGTAACTCAACAAAAAAGCAGACTAGAAAAGGAAAATAAACTCAGGCTTTTTTTGAATGTAACACCAAATAGAAAAACATGAAAAGCAGTCCCCTAAGTGATAAAGGGGGGAAGAAAAAAAAAAAGGCAGCAGCCTTGCCCCTAGATAACATGCAACGGAGCAAATCCCTAATAATTGCCTTAGGTAGCGTAATTAACTTCATTAATGCAATGCTTCACTTGTTCTACAGCTAAATATTTAGGCAAGTTACTAAAGTAAATAAGCTCCAATCTGATTAACTGGATACAAGTGAGCACACAAATTGCAAACCAAATTTGTGTCACCTTTAAAGCCTAGTCTAGAAGTTTTCAAAGTATTCCAGCCCCTTTTTTTTCCTAGTAGAGAAATTAAATCTAAGAGAACTTTCTCCAGGCCAGCCAGAAAATGGGGGGGGGGGGGGGGGTTTTTTTTTTTTTTAAAAAATTTTTTTTTA